AAAACCATCTTGGCCTGTGACCATGCATTTTTTTTTCCTTTTCAAGCAGCCTGGAAACGAACAAAAGAAATGAATTAAACCTTGAAACTCAGCTTTGTTTGCAGGAGGAAAGAGCATGGTTTCAACACCTACAAATTTACTGCCCACCTCTTCACGTAGTCCTTACAAATAAATATACAGCATTAAACTCGAGCTGAACCTTGTAGGTGAGAGAGGACGGCAAAAATAAATAAAAATAGTTTAATGTTCCTTGGCCTCTGCTCTTTCCTCTTCACAGAAACTAGTTCCCAGTGGCCTTCATGCTCAGTGAATGCTGTAGCTGTTTAAAAAGGGGAACAAAAAGGGCAAGACGTGTGTTTGTACATTAAAAATGGTGCTGGGCATAAGTAGCAGGCGAGGAACCTTTGGTAACAAATCTCAAAATCATCGTGCTCCCTGCTTTGATCCTCTCTGGCCCTCGTCTGTATAAAACACACACACACACAGGGTTTATCTGAAAAGGGGTCTCACCCTCTTCTTGGAGCACAGAGAGGAGCAGTGAGGAGACTGTTGGATAGAGCTCCAGACTTAATCCCTGGCAAGCACCCGAAAAACACAGAAAGAAAGGTGTGTGAGTGTGCATGTGTGCATTTGTGTGTATGCAGGTGGAGGTGAAGGAGGGGAGGGGGGGAGTGGATGGTAGCAAGAGACAGGCAAGAAGAGAGGAGAAAGAAGACTCTAGTCAAAAATTCCCAGCGAGGGAAGTCCTTGAACTACAGCCTGGAGAAACCTGCAGTTGAAACATCAACACGCCCGAGTGAAGCTGAGGGCTCCAAACACAGCCTCACCTCTAATAGTACGAGTGCTCAGCTCCTCACAGTTGCCAGTTCAGGACCCGCGGGGAAATAAGTGCTGAGCACAATGAACTTTCTTTATTTCTTTACCGTGTTGACAGTGAAGAGGCCCAAGTGTGTATCTATGACAGAGACAGACAAACAGACAGAGACGCACCACGACTGGCTGCGGCGGTCCGAGGGGACCGTGTGTTTCTTGTGCCACTGAGCAAATGACATCTTTCTGCTCCACAAACACTCGTTCACATTACGATCTGCAGGGACCGCGGGATCTAGTGCATTAAGTGTGTTTACGTGTGCATCCGAGATATGCACCAAAATCCAAAGAGAAATTAAAGACGCAGTCATGTAGCAACTTCCCCCGTCTTCTTGTAAAGAAAAACGGCTTTAAAAAAAATAATGAATTAAACCTGAGCGCTTCTTTCAGCTCCTGTACTCTTTCCTCTGCAAATGAGTCAGTGTGTGTGAGGGCGAATCTGTGTGTGCTCACAAGTTGAGGCGGACTAGCGGCGCTTACTAACGTGGTGGGTAGTATTGAGAGGACGCCATCAGTGATTACGGTCACGGGGCCGGGTGGTGACAGCTTAAAGGCTCTTTTCTTCATTTCTCCACCCTCTTTGCTAACCGACACGCCTCCTCTGTGTGCGTGTGTGCCAGGTCTGAGCTGCACAGCTAAAGGCTTCGGGTCATTTTCCATTCCAATCAGGGGTACCGGCTGCCATGGTCACCCTGCAAAACTTAAACAGTTCTAACAGCTGAGGAAGGAAGGGGGCACGAGGAAGCGCCGGCGCACACACTTACAGATACTTAATTGCAAGCCGGCGTACGCTCATTACAGCGTTTGAGATTCAGGAAAATATTTGTGCATGCATACACATAACCATGCATACACCAAAATATATAGCCAAGGACACTTCAGTGGAGTGTAAAAACAAGCCAGACGAACACACACACACACACACACACACACACACACACACACAGGGTCATGTGGGGCGGCCTTGGGCGATGGGAGGAGGAGGGGAAGAGAGCAGAGTCAGCCTTGCCCTCAGCCATGGCATCCTTTCATTGCCAGCTCCATAAGCCTGGAGGGACTGAGGTAGAGGGGGTGGGATCTATCCATTCCTCCCCCCCCCCCCTCCACCCTACTCAATACAATTCACCCCTAAAAATGCACACATACACCCACACACACACACATACAGAGCACAGGCCTCCAAGCAGACAGGCTTACAAAGGGGTGAGATCACTCCCAAATAAAGGCTTTGTTGGTGTGCCAGTGTCAGTATTGCCCTCTCTGGCCTACCAAAACCTTGGCAGCTAGGTTCGGCCTGTCTGCTGGAAACAACTAGGACAACAGGGTGAATGCCTCAATGAAAAATATAGTTTCAGGAAATGCAGCAGGGCAGGCACTCGGAAGAATAAAACACATAGGAATATAATAAATAACGAGAGGGAGGAATGGAAATGCATCTGGCCCACTAGCCTGTTTTCCTATCATGGGACGACGCAGCAAGTCTACCTGGCCAAAATTTTTTAAAGCAGTCTGATGTATGGCTGTTAGAATTGCAGCCACAAGCACAAAAGTCCTGCTCGAGTTTAGAGTAAAAACTGGTATGAACAACAACATAAAGATTGTTATGGTAACTAAGCATGATGTAGGCCCCCGAAGCCAAAAACTTTCCACATTTAAAAGCCTGGACTTAAAGATCTAAAAAAGAAGAGAGAGAGAGAGAGAGAGAGAGAAAAAAAAAAAGCTGAGGCCTATCGATGGTGTCCATGGCAACCAGATGGAGATCATGGAAAAAGAGACCATGAGAGACAGGATAGCCTGGAGTCAAGAGGACCACCTCCTCACAAACTCCCTGCTGTAGCCTTTAGACAACCCACCATCAAGGTGTGAGGAAATAGCAAACAGTCAGGAGAGAGCGAGTGAGAAAAAGAAGTGTAATGTACAAGCCTGCAGGTGTTTCAAATTGAGAGAATTCTCATTCCTGTTGTTCTGTTCGGTCCCTGCAAAAAGACCTGGCCTAGACAGTAAGCCAGACGTCTGCTGCGCACGCACACACACATGCACACACACACACATACTCACACACACATGCTCACACACACACACTCACACACATACTCGCTCTCTTTCTCTTCTAATTTTACAGATACAGATAGCTGCTTCATCTGACCTCTTTTAATTTGCTCTCCCTCCTGTTACTGAGGAAGGAAGAAAAAAAAAAAAAGCGGGGGGGGAGCGCTCTCTTGTTTCCTCTCCGGGACTAAACAATCCCAGTCTAATTTATTTTTTGAGGACAGAATATGTACATGTGTTAATGGGAAAGTCGAATCAAATTAACTATAATTAGTCAAACTGAGAAGTGAGCTGAGGCAGAGGTATGTGTTACATGGGAGACTTGTTCAACGTTGGCAAATAGCACTCCTCCCCACCCTCCCCAAAAACACACATACTCACATTTCCTCTGCCACCTGCTGCCATACAGCCAGCGACGGCACCCTCTCCTGAGCTCCGACACCCGTCACGCTCGCTTCAACCCTCCTGAGCTCAGACTGTATGTGGCACGCAAACATGCACACACGCAAACTACTTGTGTTGTGACACATCTCAACAAAAACCTGTATGTGAATTTTGCACGCGGCGCATCCTGACTCCTCTAATCTCGTCAAAAAGACGTTAACAGACATCTTATGAGGTGATGCTGTAATCTGTTTGGACAGATACTGCAGTTCAGGATTGCATGTGGATTATGAAGCGAAGCTGTGGGGGCAGAGAGTTAGATGGTAGAGATGATCTAGAATTCATGCTGTGGAGAAGCAAACGAGTGCTACAGCCTCTGAGGCCCAGTGCCATATTTATTTGTAGTTTGTCTGGAGCAGTCTTTAAATCTTTAGGTACTGTAGGTAACCATGAATACCAGATCTTATAGATTTGTCAACATCAGACTCTTATCAAATTCTTTTGATGGGGACCTCTCATGACGGATCACCACCCAAGTTGCAAACACTACAGAGTAGTCCAGTGAATGATCAAGCTCCAAAATCCCTCCATCCTACATTTCCCATAATGCAAATTAACAGCACCTTTGATTAGATCCTCCATGCTGGCTCAATTTATTCACTGTCTTGTTTCCAGGTATCCGGCTATAAAACTTACAGTCTTTAAGCCCTGATCAGATTTACTACCTTCAAACTTTGGAAATTTCACTACAGATACGCAGAAGAATCTACACAACCGCTTTCACAAGCTAAATGTTGTAACACGTGCCTAACAAACCGGAATTGATGAGTAAAACTGGTGGAGTACCACTTTAAAAGCGCCTCAATCAACAGGTTCTGTAGTCTAACAGAAGGCTAGTTAAGATAAAATGTGCCGTACTAATTAAGGCTGAAAACAGCATTCAATCGGTCGGTAAGCTCTGCTACATTTGCTGGCCACATTCAATTGAAAGCTTGTCTTGGCTACAGCAGCAGTGACACTGTAGTAAATCATTAGCTAAATGGTTAATTGGCTAAATGGCTACAAGATTAGTTCTCATGGCAGCTGGCCAGACAAATTAAAGATATTTTATTTAAACAAAAGAAAGCATCAAGACCAATGCTGTGTAGGTTTCAACCTTAAATGCTGCTATTCAAAAAAAACAACAACACCTCTGGTCCTATACTGATTGCATAAAGTCAGATTAAACGCACAAGTTCATCCATCCATCCACTATCTCTGCACTGCTCAATCCCCACTAGGGTCGCAGATTCCCCAAGTTCATTTTCATCTAAATATATTTATGCTATTTTGTAATATTTACTTTTTCCATGCAAAAGGTACCAAGAAAGTCTGCCAGAACGCTACATGTGCTCATGTGCATCCATCCATCGATTGTATTGATCAGAAAAATGACTCTCCAGTTAGTTCATGAATGCAATGCTGCAGCCAGCTCTCAAGTGTATGATAATGGAATCTGCCCCTTTAGAGGCTAACCATAACAGGGAAACTCAAAAGTACTGATGTGCCATTAAGTTATAACCTGCAAGACCAACACTACTTGGTAAAAGAATATTGTTTAGTCATATGTGAGCTATCTGTGTTTATCTTGTAAAATCAATACTTTGTTCACACTCTAAAGCAGAAAGTCTCTCTGTGTGTTGGTGAAGTTTACCCACCTGCGTGTTCCAGCAGCATTTTGGCAATGTCCATGTGTCCATTTAGCAGGGCATCGTGCAGTGGGCTCACTCCACCCACCTGGTTATTAAGCACAGGGGCAGGATAGTGCTGCAGCAAAGCTTCCACACACTCGGTGCTGCCATGGTTGCACGCTTCATGCAGAGGTGTCCAGCCTGCATGATCTACATGGTCAACAAACCACACAGACAGACAAGCACAAAAAAAAGGGCAGAGCATTGCTTACTCAGCAAGAAAGTTAACTAAATGCCTTTTTTTGTTGTTGTTGTTAAGAAGGCTGAATAGATCTTCTGCACATCTCCTATATTTGAAGACTGAGTATGCTGTTGGATAAATTTAAAGTTTTACTGAAAGTGTTATGAAGAAAATCCCACTCTATTGTGGCTGGTTCGTTAGAAGACTTAGTTCTCAGAGCTAACTAACGAATAAGCACGCAGGACGCAGTGCAAAACTTCTAGGAAATGAACAGGAAAAACCTTGCAAAGTGATTAAGACCATTCACACATCGCCATACTTTGCACAAAAGTAAAAGCTAAAAGAAATATTTATCACTGACATCAGTCTGTTCCAAAGTACATGAATATGAGCAAAACAACTAAAGATGAATAAATGATTAAAAAAAGTTGTGCCATTAGTTGAAAATTTGTATTTCGGTGTTTTAAATAGGTAAGTACCCATCGATAATTTAAGGTCGCACATAATTATACGCAGACGTTAAAATAGTTGCGTCATCTTTTCAGGGTTTACAGCGTTATTTATTTAAAACATGAGAATAGACAAAACTTGAAAGAGAAAGAAACAGACAACTTTGAGAGCATCGTAGCGTAGATCAGTTTGAGCTGAAAGAAAGAAGTCCTCGAAAAACGAAAATGTTCTGCTTCAATTAACAGGGGCCTCGTTTTGGGAGAAAACTGCAACTTGACAGCGGTAATTTTTACTTTCTTACTTTCTTTCTATATTTTTGGATGCTGCTGTGGCGTGTAAATTTACCAGGTCTAGGATAAATAAAGTATGTTCTATTCTATTCTATTCTGATGTCACCGTTTTGCTCATAGTTCTACTTGATCACATTTTGGACATCAGCCCCCCACTGAGATGCAAGTCAATTTAGGCTGCCATTAAAGGGCGATTACAAAATCGGAGAAACCTTTGAAACAGCACATTTCCATAAAGGGAGGGCAAGTCATTATATTTGACCTAAAGGGACTAAAGAGAGTCACTCTGAAATATCAAAAGGCATTCAATTCACTTAGCAAAGTGGTTGTAAATCTATAAATCTGAGACTCCAAACCCATCCCGCTCTTTCTAGACACACCCTTTACATTTTAGCTAAAGGTTAACCTCAATGATGACGCACACACACTCCTATTTCTTCTCTCCCGTTTTTTTCTCCAATGTTAATCGCTCGACGAAACCCTAGAGCAAACAGTGGGAGTGAAGTGAGATGACGGTGAGACAGAGGTTACAGGAAAAAAGGGAAAGCGAGAAAGTCTTACCTTTAACATTGACGTCTGTGCCAGGAAGCGCCAGGATCTGTAGCACCGTTTCCACTTGGTTCCTCTTGCAAGCTCTGTGGAGGAGGGTCTCTCCTTCGACCAGGACACACACAACGGACAAACACACCCAGAAGAGAGAAGAGGCGGAAGAGAAGAGAGAAATCCAAAATTAGGGTGTGCCTGATGTCCTTCCCATTGTCCCCCTCCATATGGTGAACACACCAATAAAATACCACAGAAATGTCCCCAAACAGAAAAAAAAAAATCCTGACCTAAAAAAAGTACGACCCACCAATGAGGATGCGATTTAAGAAGAGTGATGAGAAAAGGGGGGAGATCTTTCAAGGGAAAAAAAAAAAAAAAAAAAAAACGGAAGAAAAAAAAAAATTAAAGATGGAGAGTTGGACTAATTCGCTTCGCTCTTTTCCCCTTTTATAGACAGGGAGATTTTCCACTTACACCCCGTGCCCAACAAAGTTAATATCAGGGCAGTCGGCGAGTGAATGGATGTAGTGGTGAGAAAGTAGTCTCGCTTCCTGTCCGCTCGTCCCTACATTGTTAGTTGAGAGGAAGTTATGGTAGACAGCCCACGCACAAAGCCTCGAAAAGGATTCTTCACAGATCCTGGGTTCAAAAGCTCCGCTGGGCATTGCCAGTGTCACCACGTGATATTTAATCAGCAAACTACCAGCGAACAGGGAAAGAAAAAAAAAAAAAACTCTCAAAGATTCCATTTACATTTTTAAAACACAATTTTCTTCCCCGCTCGGCCCCTTTTTCCCCTCATCTTTACCGCATCCCTCACTTTTTCTGATACAATATTAAATCAGGAATATATTAGTGGGCCAGAGCCCCCTCTTTTCATGTATGGCTGAACTTCAGAGGGAAGTTAAAGGCCAAGCATGAGTGGCTCTGTGCTTGCCAGTATAATACAGAACTGCAAAGCCTGTAATAAATGCTTTACTAGCTCTCCCCAGGACGCCACGCCTGTACAGGGGCACCACTCCAGAGCGCACCACAGAGCAAAGAGAGGGGGCAAAAAGAGGTGGAGGAGTGGGGGGGCGGGGAGGCAGGGAGGGAGGAAACAGAACGGCCAAGAAGAAGAAGAAGAAGACGAAGCGGTGAAGGAGAGCGTAAAAAGGTTTCCTGCATTTCAAAGCATGTAGGCAAAATATTGAGAATACTGGATCCCATTCATTCCGAAGAATCCCTTTCTTCCAGGAGATGTCTTTGAGGAGGCAGAAGATGCATTAAATGGCATCCACCGGTAGTTAAGAAGTTGAAGAGTGGAGGAAAAATAAATAAAAAATATAGGGAAATGGAAGAGGCTCATTGATATTCTCACGAAGAATGTCATGCAAAACTTTGGAAACAGAAGAAAGAAGCACATTTTTCATCACTGATTATATCCAGTTCAGACCCACTGTACACACATGAAAACATACAGTATGCTGCAATATTTACATCTGAACACTTCGGTTATAAATGTCGTTACTGCACAAATTTCTAGCAGTCAAACCTCTGCAAACTTTCTGGACAAGATGAGATGGTGGATATTTGATGGCTGGTGTAGCCCAACAATGAGTATTTTATGTTACACCATATATCTACTAATAATATTTCTGTTGTCATAAAATTAAATCAAATAACCTATGTTAAAAAAAAAAAAGAAGAAGAAGAAAGAAATCCCATAAATTCAGAATTCAAATCAGCAAAAGAAATCAGACGCCATTTAGTCACAAACCAAATTATAGTTCGGCACAAATCTGTAGTGATAACCTGATTTTTTATGATAAAATCACGTGTTGCACTGTAAAAATCCATTATTTGTGGACGTAACACAAGAAAGCAGGCATTCTGGTGGTTGCACTGGTGTCAATAATGAGGTCAATCAGTGAAACAAATTATATATCCAAGCTAAAAAAAAAAAAATCAAAAATCAAAAACACCCAAACAGAGGGTGGAGTCCAGTCCAAAGTACAGTCCCTAATGAGTAAGCTGTACTGTGTGGCACGTCAGTGTTCTACATGGGCTGCTCTGCTATTACCGGGCGCTAAAACGCTGTGATTAAACACCCATTCCACTACACCCCATGTGTACACATCCTCGCAAATGCCAGGGCCAATCCACGCACTGTTAAATCACTTTAATGGCTCCAATTTGGACACAACGCCTCTATTATAGGGGTAATTGCATGCTCAGCATTTACAAGCACGGAAAGGATAAATCCGCCTGTCCTTTTCTATAAATCCCCCGTTTCACACTTTAATAGAAAAGTTAAATGTATGTGTTGCTCTTTATATCCCTCAGTCTGCTTGCTACACTCCTGTAAAGTGCTGCTTGGCCCGCTGATCCCTGGACCAAAAAGCCGCTGGAAGCCTGTAACAATGCCATTTGTCAGGAATGTGTTAGAAAGGTGTTCTATGCCAGTTATTGGATATATTTAAAACTATTTGAAGACTACTACTGTCGCTGGCTCTAAAAGCAATGGCAGCATGATAATTCCCGAAAGTCAAGATTACTGCAGCGTTCACTGTGCCTCAAAAAAAAAGAATTTACTGGCCTTAACGTGTGTGTGACAATCATTTAAACAATTCCACAGGGAAAAGTGAGGATAACCATCCATTTAATCAGTCAAAATCAACACTGGGCAGCAGCAGCAGAGCCCCTCCATGCCATTGTTTCTGCCAACGGGAAGCAATAAGACAGAAACACAAAGTGTCACAAATAATATTAGGCAAAAGATCTACATAAAAGTTTATTCTAGTGTGGCTTGTATAAAAACACAGCATGCGACAGAAGCGAGTACAGCCCCCACTATATTAAAAAAACCCAGGCCCAAAGTAGAAATTCAGTGCAACAAAAGTAAATACACTTGTGATTACTGACAAGTGTGTTTAGGTGCATCTCTGCAACATGACTCACATGACACTGAATTACAAGAGGAAGTGAAAAATTGATTGTGTAACCTCACAAATATGGAAGAGGATATGTGAAGATTTGTGACCAACTAAAACTCCTCGCTAACAAAGTTGCAGCAGTTATCAGGAGCTACAGAAGAACTCATAGCACCCAAATCAGAGCTCGTCTTCCCAAAACGATGCGATGGACTATGTTCCATTTGCATAATCTCAATCTGAAAAAATGTTTTGGCACAGCGGTTAACAATGAAAGACAGAATTTCTGTGACAGCTCAGACAGTGCGAAGGACAGCACACGTCAACCTCTATGGACGGCCGCCAAGAAGAATGTTCCTGTTTGCCTTACAGAACAAAACTGCGTTATGAAAGTTTGCACAAAAAAAAAAAGCATGACAAGTAGCCATGAATGTTTGTACGTTTGTTGGTAAAATGAGACCAAGATAAATTTGTTCAGCTCAGATGGGTACACTTTGTCTGATGTGAACCTGGCCAGGACTACCACAGTCAATACATGAACCCAGCAGTGGAGAACAGAGGCGGGAGTATGATGACAGGGCTGCAGGAGGCTAAAAATGACCAGCGATGTGATATTTATGAGTGGCTCCATGAACACCAGTGCATACACCTAAAACACTGGCTGACAAGGCAGAAGAGGAATATTACA